GTCCTCTTTTGGAAGGCCAAACAAAGTAGTTTCGCTTTCACAACGAAACACAGCGTCACACACGGCGGCCTACAGTGAGCAGTGGCGGCCTAGAGCGAGCAGAGGCCGGGGGATAAAGTGAGGAATGGCCAGCGGGCTGAGTGAGCAGAGGCGGCGTATTCGACGAAGGAGCGTCCGGAGGGCTTGCGGCAACAACATGTGACGACCCCGGGCTGGACTCCGCTTCGTCCACGGTGAAAGCCAATCCGGCGATCCACAGCACTAAGTTACTGCCCAAAAAACTCGCTTTAAATATATAAAATATAAAAACTCTTTAAATATAAAAAACGTACTTACAGTCTTTAAATCAGAACAGCCGGCATTGTAGTCTACTCTACCAGAATCGGGAAACAGTCCTTATCTTCTTTATGCACCAAGAGCTTGTAACACTCAAAAGAGAAAGGAAAAATTGAAATCGCATCATATGACCCCTTTAAAAAACAAGGGATGTACCAACTTGAAAATTCTGTCAGGTAAGCCAATAACTATGTTCATGTTATAGCCAATATTAGAATTTTAAACTAAATAAATAAACTAGTAAAATCAATCATTTTTAAATGTTAGAATTGAAATTAGGCATCACAACATTATAATATACATGAAAAATTTGTTACCACATAATTAGTGTTTTTAAAGAATAACTTTAGGAGAGTGTTATATAACAGCAAATATAATCTGTATGTAAAAATGTAGATTAATTAAACGTATAATTAAATATCCAATATTGGCCGATGCTGATAAATAAAAAAAAACGGTATGTTATATTGTCCATTGTTTCTTACAGTTGTTCATGTCTGGTCTGTCTACACCACAGCTGTGCAACAGGACTGAGGTCTGCTATTCCAAAAATAGAAGGCTTTTGAGGCACTCTATCGATCTATTCTTTGACTGCTGTAGGTCATGGTCATGTTGGATGACCCAGGTTTAAGGATTTTTCATCTCAGGCAAATATCGTGACATTCTGTTGTGGAATTTCCAGATTAAACTGGGAATTTATTGGTCCTTCAATAACTGCACATTGCTCTAAGGGGAAAAAAATCATCTTCAGGATTATTACCCGCAGTGTATCTCCTCCACTATTCCTCACAGTGAGAGCAAACACTATGCATGTGTAGGGTTTTTATTTTTAGCTACAGTCATGTGATAGCAGTGGATTGTGGATCGAGGCTAAATATAGTTATGTAAGAGAGGGCAAGAGCATGAGGAACTGAGAGAGATCAGATGGGAGGTATTTACTGTTTACTGATGTTCATTGTTGCATGAACTGACAGTTTAATTCACACCATATGCCTTCCACCAATCAGGACAGATAAGCAATTACAGCTCTATTCAAGTCAATTCATGTCTGTATGACTCCAGGGCTCTTAAGCAAACACTGAGCAGCTCACCCCTTTAAGTATGTCCACAGCATTTGTGCTGAGACAGGACGCGTAGATGATCTCTTCAGTCAGGATGGACTCAAAAAGGTCATCCTCATTCTCTGCCTCAAAGGGGGCATGGCCAGAAAGCATTTCATACAGCAGCACACCGAGAGCCCACCAATCAACTGACGAGCCGTACAGCATCTCCTGAAGGATCTATAGGACCATATAAAAATTACATTTAGGACATCCTACCTTCACACACTTCCACACTCATCACGCACTTCCATAGATTATCCTTTCACCAAAAACTAACAGACACCAAAAGAAGCAGTTTATATCTACAATATTGCTGATTATATTATATTAAATTATATTATATATTTTGAAAGAACACAGGTGTGAATGTGGAGTTATTTTAGTATTATTGATATGCTATTATAGTACTTACTAATATTTAGAATTAGCGTATATTTACAGCTTTACGTTTTAATAATTTTATGTCATTTTGTTAATTTTCTGTTCTGTTTAGCTTTAAATTGACTAATTAAATAATTTATATTTAAAAATAATTAAATATTGTTTGTAAAACTTCACCTTAATCAAAAAAAAAATTAAAACATGGAATATAGAAATATTGCCTTGGCAACCAACTGAAATAAAATAAGTTTATCATTTAAAATTTAAATTTGATTTCATTCTCATTTTATTTTATTTAACTGTAAATTAATATATTAAATATTTGTAATATTTTTTTTTAAATTGGTCCATTTGTGTGTTATGTGTGTTGAAACTAATAATTGCAGTGAATGTGACTGGAAGTTGGCACCTCATGCTTCAAGTCAACTGACAAAATGTAAATGCAGCACAACACTTCTGATTCTTCTAGAATTTTGTGATGCATAATTTTGTGTGGATTTTAGACAACCACTGAATGGGTGGAGTGTTTGAATCACCTCTGGAGCAATGTAGTCTGGGGTTCCACAGAACGTTCCTGTGACAACACCTTCAAACATTCCCTCCTTACACATGCCGAAATCAGCCAGTTTACAATGACCATCCTTATCCAGCAGAACATTATCCAACTTCAGATCCCTATATATATATATATATATAGGCTAGGTTAATCTGTGATGTGTGTGTTCCTCACCAGTGTCTGGAAGCAACAGTACACCTGAGTGAGGTAAGGATGAGTGGAAGCGAAGGATAACACTCGTTTTTCTGTCATAGTGCACTCAACATCATCATCCTGCAGTATGATGTCTTTCTTCAGCACCTTCACTGCAAACACCTGATCTGAACCGTTCAACCGGACCAGCATCACCTATTTACACACAACACCAACAGTATGACTTGGGAAGTATCTTTCATTTTATTTGTATTCACTCTAAATTTCTGGCACAAAATTGTCATCATAATATTTTAATATGAAACAACACACTATTTAGAAGTCACTTGCACAGCAATAATCCAATGGTTTTTTTTCCAGAGCATATAATATTTTATGTACACCAAATAAAAACTTATCAGATAGTTATATAATATTAGATATAATATTATTAGATATAATATTAACATTGTAACATATAAAAATTGCCATATTATAGTTTTTAAACAGGTCAGTGACTGTACCATGCAATTTCTTTCAGATAAGAATATAAAATTCACATTGGGATCATTTGTAATACATAAACACATTCACATTGGAATTGTGTGAATATTTTGTTTAACAAATAGTCTGCAATCATTGCGCTACACAGTCATACTGGACCTGATGTACAGAGGAATAGTCTTAAACACAGACCTTGCCGAAGCTGCCTTTTCCCAACACCTGCAGGAGTGTGAAGTTTGAGATTCCCAGCTTCCGACTTGCCTCTTTTTTAGATTGCCCTCGATCTCCTCTCACACTCAATGTACGGGACTGAGCGTCCATACCTGAGAGACCCTGAGAAGAGAGACAATATTTAGACTTAAGACTTTATTAGTTTATTACTCGTTCAGTACATTTTATCGTTCAATATTAATTATTCTGTTGATGGTCTTGTGTTACTTCCCATAATTTCTCACTTTACTTCACTAAAGTTTTGTTTTTTCCTATTTTCAGTGCATGCAACCAAGAAAAATGTGAGTTATGTGTGATGTGAATAAAGCACATTAAACTTAAACAAAGAGATTTACACACACAGACAGATCACATATTTTACTTTTGAAAAGATTCAGTGCACATGTGTGCATTTACCATTGAGTTGCGTTTGGTCAGTCCTCCCGGCTGAAGGCCCATTTCTGCCAGTTTATTGGCCAGTTCTACATTGTTGACTCCACAGTTTGGGGCAACATTTCCCTTACAGCGGATATGGACATTCATTTTACAAACTACAGATGTAAAAACACAACACACCAGATGAGCCTCACAAAACAGCATAAATAAAACTGATGTATATATTTATGGTGACCAAATCGGTGACAGAAAGAGAAAAAAGTACTTTTGCAGTGCAATCCTTGCCGTACAATGCCCCACAGCAAAGAGCCACAGTGGTCACAGAAGGCAGGAACCTTATAATTGTGGATGTTAAACTTATGGGGAACATTTATACTGAAACCCTGATTTGTTGTCTGTAAAAAGAAGCAACAGAGCATAGAATAAAAAACACAGCAGAAAATTTAAGCAGTTCTATTTCTGACCAGCAGGTGGAGAAATGACATCTGTGTTTTTTAGGACACAGACAGAAGTCACTTCACCAACATATGACACAATTGGTCTGTGTGTGTGTTTCAGTAATTCTATGGCCTAAATTTCTAAAATTGCCCACAGGTGAAACGAAAAACCCAATCAAACCATACTGTGAAAATACACAGTACAACACACACACACACACACACACACACACACACACGCAAAAAAATGGACTACGAAAGTGTTTTAGGGTTAGGGTTGCGTGCATTACCTGTTCCTTGGCAGGTTTCTTCATGCGTGGACAGACCGTAACCACAAACTGATGGCATCGCTTGTGTACCACACAGGTGCACACTAACAAGCACACACAGAATACAATCAATCTATAATACAATCAATTTAAACACAGATAATGTCGATTAATACGGAGACAGAGTGTACACTCACCTTGACATTGGTAGCCCTGTTTTCCAAAAACACCCCTGGAACAAAGAAAACATAATGTACAATTAAAATATAACAAAGTTTGTTTAGCCACTCACTTCAAGCATTTGTATACAAAATGTAAAACACTTTTACACTGTAATTTATATGGTTCTCGATTTTTGATTAGAATAATAAACTTTATTTGTATAGAAAATAAGTTTTTCGTACAATGCAAAATGCAGTTCTTTCTTACAAACTCTCACAAAAATGTCTTATTAAAAAATTCATTGTTACACTATGCATTTTAAATTCAGTATTTTAAGTATTTACAACAAGATATAATGTATTACAATGACTAATTATAATGCATTGTGCCCTTTAATAGCCCTTTATAATGCATTATACATAAAGGCTTTAAGTAGAGCGATACCAAAAAAGTTTTTTTTAAAAGGTGAGCATTTATGTGACAAAAATGCACTACCATATGAATTCTTTGCAGTGGAAGCAGAACGTTGGTTGCTTTAGGAAGGTAGACATGAACTTGTGTCCATTTACTTGGTGGATTTTTCTTCTAACTGCCTGCTGCCGTTTTCGGTTAAATTCTTTATAGGGACGCGTGTTTCCTCCAGCATCATCTAAACACAGAAAAACAGAAAAGGTTTTATTATTTCATGATCTTCTTACAATACATAGGTATTTCCTGTAATGCCATGGAACATTCTGCTGACTTTGTGAGGGGGAAGAGAGACAGATTAGGAGCCCCCGGTTCACTGGTATTATTAAGTCTAGTCTAGTCTCTGCAGGGCTAACCACAGGCCTTTAAAGGAAGCCAACTTCACAGCCCCTGCACAGCGGGTGTGCGATTCACACATCGCATACACTTCATGCATAAGATGCTCTGACAGAAGCTCTGTCTAAAAAAAACTGTGACTGAAGAAGGCTTTGTGTGTCTTAGTGTGTCTTAGCATGTGTCTGGTAGCATGTTAACATTTAGTTAAGTGATATCTCAACTAGTGCTGGGCGGTATGACCAAAAATTTATATCACAGTGTGGATATTGTGGATGAGTTCTTCTGTGTCATCACGTTCTATTAGTTCTACAGCTTCAGTTTCGGAACTTTCACGCTTAGTAACACATACAGCTGTTCCCTCACCACAGTGCACCAGTGAAAAGGGATGCCTTTCAAACAGTGTCACGTTCCGAACGTTGTTTAAGCGACATACTTAATACCGCGTATTGCGGTATTTTAAAAATTCATATCATAACAAAAATAAACACCGGTATTCGGTATGAACCGGTATACCGCCCAGCACTAATCTCAACAGCAAGTGGAGGAAATTAGTGTGTGTGCATCAGTGCATGTGTGCGTTTCCACCATCGTGGCCTAGACAGTGCGATTCATCAAGAAGAGTTTTATATTTTCATCTTTTACTCTGTCATTGGCTATGAAACAGGCGGCGTGTTCTCTATACGCCTTTGTTTCAGTCCAAAAAAAGGCATACTGACGGTCAAATTGATGCATGTATGATTAAATGTATGATTAAATTTGTACTTCTGCATGAGAAGATTTAAAACAAATAGAACAATTAAAACAATTATTTAAAAAAAAAGATAAAAATGAGTGGGACTCACCGTCTATAAATGAGCCTGTGAGACTAACCAGGATGTAGACCTTACCCTCAGGTTCAAGGTCAACCTGCAACACAAAAAAAAATCTATAAATATTATTTTAGACACTGAATACTGAAGTTAAGTTATTCTCACATTTTAAATTTAACTTAATTAAAAGTTTAAATACTCATTTTCATTATTTTTATAATATTCTCTAAATTTGAAGATTAGTACATTGATCAAAACTATCAAACAACACAAACAAAAGTATGGGAATTACTTGGAGATAAAAATGTTAAATAAATTCATACTTTCCATTATTTCTAACAAATACATTCCTATTTTCACAGTTATTTGTGACAGTAAGAGTAGTTTCTTGAGAAAGAAATACTTAACAATTGAACATATTTAGAAAAATGTGACTTTTGAAAATGAAAATGACTTTTAGAAAATGACTTTTCTGTGAATTTTTAAGATTTCAAAATTTCCCATGATTTTCCCAGGCCTTTCAGGAAGCATTTTTTAAGTTCCCTGGCATTTTCAATTTGTGTATTAAAAGTTTTGTGTATGACAAGTCTGTTTTTTTTCAAGTTATATATTCAGGCAAACATGCACACGTTAAAAATTATATCTGTGCCAAATACAAGCAATCACACAACCCACTGGTACCGTCCACAGCAGTCACACTTTTACACCACGGAAAATGTAAATGAGGTCAGGCAGAAGTGAAATATTAGAGCTGGACTACAGATTACTGTAGAGCAAAAAGAGAAGAGAGATAACGGAAAGACAAACTCAGAAATGGAAAGAGACAGCGAGGGGTAAAAGGGGGGCGTTTATGAGCCTGTGGTAAACTCTCTGTAGAAAACCAACTTTGTGGGTGTGTGTCGACCTGCATGTCATACAGAACTAAACCCTATGTGCTTCTGTATATGTTACGACAGAATCATGGGCAAAAGAAGTAAACTATAGGGTAGAGATATTGCATGCAAACAGCAGAAACAAGGGAATGGCCAACCAGATCAGCCAATCAGAAAAGCTCCCTACCTGTCACTCATTTTGGTGGTGGTCTAAATACAAGTCTGATGATAATTAGCAAAACAGCACTAACAACATCTTTACAGAACACTGTGATGCATACAGGAATGATTAGCCATAATTAGCATACAGTATGCCCTTTTCTTTGTCACATATGGACTAAATTCATTTAGATTAATTTAGTTCTTTTTAAACTATTTTGCTTTAGCAACTTTCAATAGAGTTCAGCTGAATATTTTTTCCACCAGTCATACTTCTTTTCATTTGGTTAAAACTGAAAGCAGAAAAATTCAGACTATGACAGAGTGTGTGTCAATACTCTATCTCCAATACACACAACTTCCATTTTATATACTTTTGATGCTAGTTTCACTCACTGATAAAATAGCATAACAGAAACTGTGTAACAGAAATTCCTAGAGGCAGTTCCCATATAGGGAAGCTCATACACACGCAAACACACTCTTACTTGTGTGTGCTGTTTTGAACTGCAGGATTCACAATACCATCAGTCCCAAAAGCCTGAGGCTCTACACAGAAACAAATACATACACTGAAACTTGGCACAAAACGCCCACATCCCAGACAGAATAAAAGCAGAGTATCATTAATTAGCGGTTCTGTGACCTGCAGCTGCAGAATCAATAAAAATGGGGCCGTGTATCTCTGAAGTCCACTGAATTTCATCTGGAACCCAATAGAAGTTGATCAGATGTACAATAACGTTTAAAAGTTTAAGACTGGTAAGATTTAAAAAATGTTTCGGAGTCTCTTACGTTCACTAATGCTGCATTTATTTAATCAGAAATACAATAAAAACAGTAATATTAGGAAATATAATGTTCTGATTTATTTCAACATGTTATTTATTTCTGTGATGGCAAAGCTGAATTTCCAGCAGTCACTACTACTCCAGTCTTCAAGAAACATTACTGTTATTTTATTACATTACTATTATTATTATCAGTGTTGAAATCATATAAACTGAGATTATATGTAAAAACGTTTAATTTAAAGTCATTTAAAATCATTTAAAGTATGCACTTTCCCTTATACATACAGTACAAGTTGAAGCTAAAATAACCTTGAGGCTAATAATAAAGTGTATCTCTATATTACTGTTCACTAAATGAACAAATGTTCAGGACACGTACAGTAAAAACAAGATGTTCACTCTAAAAATAATGTCCCTGTGCATAAGCATTCTGGGAAAGGAGAACTAATAGTACTTGAGCTGAATAATAAGGTTACAAGAAGACCTTCACCACTTCTGCAGATTATGAACACACTGCTTTGTGTACATAATCCCACAAAAGAGTCCCCACATGCAGCAGAATGACAATAAAGCTCAACTTGAACTTGAACTTCTGCTGAGGACAAGCAAGATGATTTGCATGTGCATGTTCAGCCTGGTCACTGAAATGCTGACAACAAGTGTTTTACAACTACTGTGTCCTAGTGACTCTGCAGCAGTGTTGAGTTAACACACTGATATGAACTAGCTCTGAAGGCAGTGTAGACATGGAAATTGTGGTGCTTAAACCACAGAAGATGCTAAAACCACAGAGCAAGATGTTTCAGCTGGTCTTAGCTGCAACCATCCCACGGAGAGTCTGAGAGCTCAAACTCTGAGTCCAACTTGTGTTGATTGACTGTGCATTAAGCCCCGACTTGCTTTCATTAACCTCTGATCATGCATCAGGATCTGTGTCTAGAGCTGCAGTCAAAGGCTTGATTCTGGATCATTGAGCATTGTTGCACTGTTGGACATATGGGTGTAAGTGTGAACCCACACTGATGATGGTGGAAGAAGATAACACTCATAACCTCTGCAAGTCTGCTGTTCACACACAAGGAAAAAACACAACAGCACTAAATAAAAGAGACTAAACAAAGAAAAACACAACAATAAAATACAACAGAACAAAACAAACAAAAGAACACAATGCAATGCAACAAAGCATGACAAAAAGAACACAATACAATACAACAAAACCAACAGTGTGAGGTTTAGGGGAAACTAGGGAATGCTGTAATACCAGTTAAGCCAATTAGAAATGAACAACAGGGATGAAATCACTATTGTATATGAACAACATCAACCTAAATAGGCAGATTTTCACTAAATGTAATAAATAACACAAGCTTTTCATGGCTTGTAACACTAGTTTTTAATAAAATACATTTAAAGAAATAGCAGAAATATTATAGCTGCAGATGGAGAGGGTTGTAACACTTTCTAATGTGCTTTTCTACTGAAGACACAAAGATTGCACAAAATCAAACAGGCCACATTTGCCACAACTGTGATAAAACAAGCTAATAAACTTTAAAACCAAACCGATGTGTGCATAAGCCTGCTTAACATATACTTATCATTGTTTTCAATTGCTGTCTTGAATTAAAATTCTTAAATGTTTACAGTTTCATAGCAGTCATGTGGCTCAAACAGTAGAGCATGGTGCTAGCAATGCCAATATCATGGTTTGATTCGTAAGGAATGGTTGAACTGATAAAATGTATACTTTAAGTGAACTCTTTAGTCTGCCAAATGCATGAATGTAAGTTTTCAATCAAAATGTTTCAAATTAAAAGTAGGATGATAGGTGTGTGTGGTATGGAGATGGGGGATGACAATTACTTTAAATGAGTAAATTCAATAACCATAATAAAATCATGCATACAGTTTAACATGTTTTCAAGTAGCGTTACAAGTGTCCTGGAAGTAGGGTCGATTGTAACAATGGCATTCTTTGTACCTGATGTTAATTTATTTACTTAATTCTAATATTAAAAGCATCAGATTTCGAAACTTCTTTAATTTACAGTTGGCAAATATGATAATATTGTATCAACGTTTCAGACATACAGCACAAAAAAAAAAAAACAGACGTTGAAATAACATTACAACACTCCCCAGACTCTTCTATTTTGTATTCTAGTATGCTGACAGTTTAGTCCATCACTGTCGTTCATTATGTGATTCGTCTTTAGTGTGCACCTAAGTACTGTACTAAATACTGTTTTGCATTCTGGACTTGTAATCAACATGCACTTTTCTACAAACACAATCTCTCCAATGCCACCAGATGCATAATAACATCATCATCTAAAACTTTACTCGGAGTCTCACCTCTATTCTGTAGGCTATAGGACAACACCTCTATCCAGAGATGCTCACTGTCTGCCCCATCAGAGCAAACATACCTTGTTATTTCAGAACTTTTCAACCTAGGCTATATGATTCAAAGTGTCATGTGTCAAAATACATGTGGAAATCAAATCTACACCAACTTTAAGCAAAGCAATTTCTCACAATAGCCTACTTAAGAAAGACGCAGTGTGTGATCAGGTGAGGGAAAAGCAGCTGTATGGTAAACATTCCTCACCCATCCTTCAAATGACTCCTCTCTGTTCGTGCTCTTCATCAGATCACCAAACTGGATGGTGCAGTTGGCCACGAAGTCATCGTACCCAATCGGTGCGTCGTGAAAAATGGCCAGCTCTACTTGCTTGCCGTTATTGACGTTAACGGAGAACTCCTCGTTATAAGTGGGCATGTTGGTTTTCTGCTTGGTGTGCGTCTGTCCGATCTTATACTCGTCCACCTTCACTACGATGTACGGGTCCATGGTCTGGTTCGCCTTGTTGAACATCACGGCGTGTCGCATAGAGGTGGTCGTGGGCTTCAGGTCCACCGCTTCGCCGATGCGCAACTTCAGATACCCGTTAAACTTCATGATGTCCTCTAACCTCGAGCCTAGCAAATTTAAGCCTATTAGCCTACCTGACTTAATGACTGTTGGACATGATATCACTTAAATGGGCAAGTGTAAATGCACAAACGCACACAAGTTAAAAGCCTGTACACAAAGCGCTGTTTGAACCACCTGCTTTGCGGAAGGACTGAAGCGAGTGGGCAGAATGGGGAAGTGAAGGAGTTCACGCCTGATTACGCGTCTCCCTCAAGGGACTCAGTCACAATAATAAATGTTTTTCTCTCGCTATGTCTTTAAACCTTTCAGTTTTATCCGTTAGTTGAGTTATTACGGTGTCGCCTTTGCAAAGTTTTCCTTGACACTTTCACAGTCCGTCCATATTTGCTGAATTTTGGACCCGTGTCAGACAAATCTTTGTGTAAAAACGTCTAAGTGCTCTATTGCAGCCGGAGAAACTGAGCGACAGGGCGCTGAGGAAACTGCAGATAAACTGTCCAGATATTGTTCTTCAAACAAAGCCACGGGTGGACCATCTCTGAAGTACCTGCATACGGAATTCGGTTGAAAATGAAAACGCACCTGTTTTATTGCAAGCATATAGAAATAGCGCCACCTTTCGGCAGACTTGTTCAAAAGCACTAGAGTTTCACGAAGGCATTACAGTTAAAATGATTAAATTCGTTAAGTATTAAATGATGTGCAAATATAATTTGAAGTTATTATAAATAAACAAATAATTAAATATAAAATAAAATGTACATTAAATAAATGTACTTATGTACAATACATTGTACATTAAATAATTAACATCATCAGCTTTTTTAATGCCTAGATAATTAAATCAGCAAACAAACAAATAAATACATACATATATAAAGAGAATATGTATTACATAATCATTATTAGTATTACATTTATACAAGTTATGTATTGAATAGTCTAAATTTGAACTTGCTTGAATAGATGCTTGAACTAATATTTGTGTGTGTGGGTGGGTGGGGGGGCTCTGATTGAGCTCTATAAAGTCTCTAGATGAAAGGCTCAATGGTGTCAGATGTGACCTTTGACCTCTCTCTATCTCTTTTCCAGCTGGTGTAAATTCAAAGGGAAGACTCCAAACACTCTCTTCTCTGTCCGGTGTCAGTGGTCTTATGGTGATGTGGTGAATCTCAGACCTTAGGTGATGAACTATTCTATGGGATGCTGAGCTTTGGTGGTGATTCTGGTGTAGCACCAGTCTTAGCCAGCAGGAGACGCTAATGCTCAACATTACTGCAGCTTTAATTATTTAACCATCAGGCCTACTTGTATTTTTCAAACGTACATGGTCAGTTTCTTAATGCATGGCTTTGTAGTGTTGCCATAAGTTGTCCTATGACTTTGTTGTTCCAGCTGCCATGCCCTTGTATCTCAGTATCTCTCTCTCTTTCTCTCTCGAGTTTTTTGTGGTATGAAACAGTATTACAACATGTATTCAGCACCAAATCACCTTTAATGGTCTTCATGGCTAGCCTCCTCCTGAGTCTTCATTAAAGAACTGCCCTTTTCACCTGGAGTGCAGTGTGGGAGAGTTTAAACTCAGGCCATTTTGACGAGCAGAACTGTTCTGGTCACAGTGGTTTTATTGAAATCTGGCAGTTCATGCACTCATGCAGTGTGTGAGTATGTGTTCAGAACACAGCAAATGTGCATTTCAGGACATGTGTGTGTATAGTGGGCCTCTGGTGTTTTTTGTGTCTGGTCACAAGGCAGCATACCATAAACCATAGTAGAACTAGCTGTATTTTTGATGGTTGCAAGTGAGAAAGTCTGGATTAGGTACATCATGTAAACAGTTTATAATAATATAATATAATATAATATAATAATTTAACAATATATAATTGTATTATTTAAATATATGTGTGTGGTGTGTGTGTGTATACTTTTTTCAGGGTAATTTGATGAACAGAAAGTTTAAAAGAACAGCATTTAACAACATTTTAACATTATAAATGTCTTTACTGTCACTTTTGATCAATTTAATGCATCCTTGATGAATAAAAGTGTTAAGTTCTTTAATTTCTTTTAAAAAACATACAAAAATTATATATGAATTATATAGAACTAAAAATATTATATTATATATGAAATAATTATGCAACAATATTATATATAATTTCTTTGTACACACACCATAAATTATGTAAAGTAAAATAATAAAATAAAATAAGTAAAATAAATAAAATAAAATAAAACAATATTGCGTTTAAAGACCGTAATGTAAAACATAAACTTGCCCCATCCTTATCCAGAAAACACAGTTAAAGTTAAACTTTTCACACAAAACCTCATAGTTACTTAGATATATCTGCATCCCTATGTGACATCTAGCCCCAGTCTCTCCATTCTAGAGTAATGCAAGCTTACTTGTTCACTGAAGCTCATAAACTATACCTGACTGCTGCTACTCTATGTCAGGCCGTGCGACTCGTCGAGATGTGGGTGAGGTATTTATGGGTGAAAGGCCAAAGTGTGTGTGAGTGTGTGTTTTCTTGCTGGTATTATTACTCAGTGTTTGGGAATGGCAACAGCTGCGGCAGGAGGGCATAAAAGAAGAAAAACAAAAATCAGAGAAAGAAATTGAGAGTGAATGATGGAGTGAGTGTTTGGAGAGACGAGTTTAAAAAGAGTGACAGGGAGAGCGAGCAGAAAGGACAGAACAGTTTTAAAGCAGAGGAGAAAGTGTGTGACACAGGGCAGGGTAAGTGTGTGTGTGTTTGAGTAAAATGAACTCCAGATGTGATGTGGTCTCAGCTCCGACCAGGCGTCAGAGCAGAATTAGAGGTTTTAGAGGGCAGAGAGAATGACAAAAGAGGAGAAAAATCTTAGAAAACACTCAAATGTCACTATAGAGGTAAGTAAGGTAGTGTGTGTGATTGGATGTGTGTTTGTATCTTCCTAACAGAGTCTTCAGAACGATTTACTGGATGTCTGTGACACAGGGAGCACGGTTACTGATCGAGCATGAAAATCAATTCAGGAGGAAGGAGAAGAACAGAGATGCAGAAAAAAAGAAGTCCAGGGAAAAAAGCAGATGTCAGAATGAAAGGGCCAATTGGCATGAAAGAAATCAGACAGACATACAGCAAAATCACCTTCTGTAGGCAGCGGTTAACAGTCAGCAGATGTTTCTGTTGGTGTGTGTGAATATGGACTGTGGTCTAAAGGTAAAGCTATCACTGCAAGCTTGAATTAAGGCTGAAAAGAGACATAACTCTTGCCCGATACCCAAGAGCAGTGGATCTCATTTTCCACTAATTTAAACCTAGCATGAAATGTTGTTTTAAAGGCTTTTTCTTCATACATGTTTACTGAAAAGGCCCAGAAATAATTTTTAAATGTCTTCTCCTACTCATGCAGTTGACTTGCAAACCCTGACATTTTAAGTAAACGGATGGATCTCTATATAAAAAATAATAATAATACAATATATTATTTAAATTGTATTTATCCATTATATTTGTTGTATTTATTTGTTTTAAAAAGTCAGCAGTATTTAGCTGTATTACTATAACATACTGTATTATAGTAATTAAATTATTTTTTAAAGAATAATACAAATTCTAAAAAAGAACTAAAACTAAAAAATAAAATGTCTGGACGAATTACTAATAGATTTTTTTTGGGGGGGGCGGGGTAAAACATGACATGTTTTTGTGAGGTACCTATTTATTCTCGTTGGCGTTCGATATCCCATGACGCGTCTCCCTCAAGGGACTCAGTCACAATAATAAATGTTTTTCTCTCGCTATGTCTTTAAACCTTTCAGTTTTATCCGTTAGTTGAGTTATTACGGTGTCGCCTTTGCAAAGTTTTCCTTGACACTTTCACAGTCCGTCCATATTTGCTGAATTTTGGACCCGTGTCAGACAAATCTTTGTGTAAAAACGTCTAAGTGCTCTATTGCAGCCGGAGAAACTGAGCGACAGGGCGCTGAGGAAACTGCAGATAAACTGTCCAGATATTGTTCTTCAAACAAAGCCACGGGTGGACCATCTCTGAAGTACCTGCATACGGAATTCGGTTGAAAATGAAAACGCACCTGTTTTATTGCAAGCATATAGAAATAGCGCCACCTTTCGGCAGACTTGTTCAAAAGCACTAGAGTTTCACGAAGGCATTACAGTTAAAATGATTAAATTCGTTAAGTATTAAATGATGTGCAAATATAATTTGAAGTTATTATAAATAAACAAATAATTAAATATAAAATAAAATGTACATTAAATAAATGTACTTATGTACAATACATTGTACATTAAATAATTAACATCATCAGCTTTTTTAATGCCTAGATAATTAAATCAGCAAACAAACAAATAAATACATACATATATAAAGAGAATATGTATTACATAATCATTATTAGTATTACATTTATACAAGTTATGTATTGAATAGTCTAAATTTGAACTTGCTTGAATAGATGCTTGAACTAATATTTGTGTGTGTGGGTGGGTGGGGGGGCTCTGATTGAGCTCTATAAAGTCTCTAGATGAAAGGCTCAATGGTGTCAGATGTGACCTTTGACCTCTCTCTATCTCTTTTCCAGCTGGTGTAAATTCAAAGGGAAGACTCCAAACACTCTCTTCTCTGTCCGGTGTCAGTGGTCTTATGGTGATGTGGTGAATCTCAGACCTTAGGTGATGAACTATTCTATGGGATGCTGAGCTTTGGTGGTGATTCTGGTGTAGCACCAGTCTTAGCCAGCAGGAGACGCTAATGCTCAACATTACTGCAGCTTTAATTATTTAACCATCAGGCCTACTTGTATTTTTCAAACGTACATGGTCAGTTTCTTAATGCATGGCTTTGTAGTGTTGCCATAAGTTGTCCTATGACTTTGTTGTTCCAGCTGCCATGCCCTTGTATCTCAGTATCTCTCTCTCTTTCTCTCTCGAGTTTTTTGTGGTATGAAACAGTATTACAACATGTATTCAGCACCAAATCACCTTTAATGGTCTTCATGGCTAGCCTCCTCCTGAGTCTTCATTAAAGAACTGCCCTTTTCACCTGGAGTGCAGTGTGGGAGAGTTTAAACTCAGGCCATTTTGACGAGCAGAACTGTTCTGGTCACAGTGGTTTTATTGAAATCTGGCAGTTCATGCACTCATGCAGTGTGTGAGTATGTGTTCAGAACACAGCAAATGTGCATTTCAGGACATGTGTGTGTATAGTGGGCCTCTGGTGTTTTTTGTGTCTGGTCACAAGGCAGCATACCATAAACCATAGTAGAACTAGCTGTATTTTTGATGGTTGCAAGTGAGAAAGTCTGGATTAGGTACATCATGTAAACAGTTTATAATAATATAATATAATATAATATAATAATTTAACAATATATAATTGTATTATTTAAATATATGTGTGTGGTGTGTGTGTGTATACTTTTTTCAGGGTAATTTGATGAACAGAAAGTTTAAAAGAACAGCATTTAACAACATTTTAACATTATAAATGTCTTTACTGTCACTTTTGATCAATTTAATGCATCCTTGATGAATAAAAGTGTT